TTATTACTACTGTTATAAACCATTAGTCAGCCTCGTCTTGCTGCAAGTGGGATCAGCTGTACACGTCGGACAGCATGCAATTCGCCACTGTGGACTGGCTGCGGGTGTATTTGGATGGGATACATAGCGGATACGGCGAGTACGCGGAGCAGCTGTGGGCGAGCCGCGTGCGGACTACCCTCGAGCTGGCAAATGGAGACTCAGAGGATTTTGCAGCAGCCGGCATCAGCACTGGGTTCCACTGGAAAACCATCAAGGCGGCGGCGGGTGCGAGCCTGCCGGCTGCGGCGTGCGAACACAACCCATCCCCCCTGCGTGCTGATCAGTTTTATGCCTGTCGTTTCGCACACATCCATTTCGCTTTTTCCAATGCTGCGCTGCATCATTTGTTGGCATTGCTGATATCCTGCCCCTGCATCATGTCTGCCCTTCACGGCTTGTGCCTGGCCGCATGACTCACGGCAGCAGGTGAGCTCCTGCATGGTTTCCTACCTGATGGCGCGTCTGGCAAGCCTGCATCCGCAGCGGTTGCTTGCGGAGGTGGACCCATGCAGCAGCGGTCCCACTATTCAATAAGAACAGGCCGTCCCACAATATGGAACACACCAGCTACCACCGTGCAGCTTCGATGTCAAGCTGCAAGCTTCAGTGGTGCCAGCAGGCAGCCCTGTAGCACCTCTGCTGTGCTGCATGCCTCGTTTGCAGTCGGCAAACAAAATCAAGCTGTGCTGCTCGCCGCCGCTGCTCCTGTCCTCGCATGTACCCCTCCTGGGTCTCACCCGGGTTCCCGCGTCGTCCCACAGCAGCAGCAAGTGGGTCATGTGTGATTGTGCCAATGTGGTGCTGGCGATCCTGCACACACACTGCTGTTTGCTTGCGGCGCACCCATGAGCTGAAATAGCAGCAGTCTCTGTTGCCACCCTCTGCTCCTCTGCCCTACGGTCGCCTGACGAGTGCAAGCCAGGGCAAATCAAGTGGTCTGCCGCTGGCTGCAGCTGCGGGCTGGTGGCAGCTCACCCCACCTGCATGATTTAGAAAAGTCTCAAGCTGTCGCTGCTCGCACGCGGCTGCTGTCATGCCCCCCTCGCCGCTCCCTCCCTGCCTCACCCACCATGTGCTAGCTTCCCTTATGCGCACGTGCTGCCTGCCGCTGTCCACCATCCATCCTTCCCTGCTGTGAAGGCACATCGACAAATCCAGCAGCTGCACCAGGACCAGGTGAGGCTCGCACACGGTTGTCAGTGAAATTGACACGGTACTGCCGGGGCTTGTCACACACTTGGGGAGTTACTTGGCTGAGTGGACCGTGCCAGCGCCAGCTATATGCATGCTGACAGGCTGAATCTGCTCCCGCTGGGATGGCATCCGCAGTCCCTGTCCTGGAGGTGCTGCGGTCTCCCTACTGCATGTTTCTGGTCGACAGCCACAATAGCAGTACAAATGCAAGGGCATACCCTGGACTGGATATCTCGCTGTGGGACGTGCGCAGCAAGGAGGCGTGCGGCAGCGTGGCGCAGTTCTTGGAGCAGCGGCTGGCCCACGCCACCATCACTCCCGATCCCAGGGGGGGAGGTGTGGTCCCGGGGTTTGAGCGCAATGTGGCAGAAGGACACATGGACCAAAAGCATCAGTACACGAGCAGCTTGTCATCTCCCTTGAATTGCGCCTGCAGGCCCTGCCCACAATGCTCATTGGCATCTTGTCATCACCTCGTGGTGCCACTCATGCCACCTTGCCACCCTTGCACGCCACGCCTGCGTGGGCGCCATCACCATCCACGCGACTTCTGCAACACAGTCGGCGCGGATGCTTGGATCGAGAACGAAAGCCAATCCAACAACGTGTAAGTTTTCCGTTCCTGCGAGCCTGCCACGTCAGCCGTGCTTTGTGCCCTTGACCCGATCAAGACATGCTGGTCTTGAAAGCAGCACGCTGTCGCTCGTCTGCCTGTGCGCGCAAAAAAAAACGTGCCACGCGTGGTGCCGCCTCCCAGGTTTGCGCGCAGCGTTGGCGAGGTCGTCTGCAGAGCCCTGACCCGTGCAGGGCACGGTGTGGTCTTCAAGACGTACCCCTCCACCCGTGTGGAGGCTGGGCTGCCCGACTTTCTGATCAAGCGGCAGGTCGAGGGGCAGCCCAGCTTGGAGGAGGTGGTGTCGGGCGAGGGGAAGGTGCGCACAACTGCGTTGGGTTTCAACCCCTTGAACCCCAAGTGCGTGCTGCTGCAGCTGTTTTAAACTCGCGCCTCGTCGACTTGTGGTGAGTGCTAGCACGTGATGCGGGTGATGCGTGAATTGTGTCCAAGCGCCCAGCGTGAGACTGGTCGGCAGTGTTCCCGAATTCCTGAGCTGTCCCTGGTCTCTTTGACGCGCAGACTCCCGCGGTGATGAGGAGCGCGGCCGCCATCTACCACAAACCGAGCCACAGCCCGGCGAGGCAGTGTGCAGCCCAAGCATGCTGCTACATTCGAGACAGGGTGATGCACCCCGTTCGTAGCAAGAAATTGCACGGGGGGGGGGGCTCTCCTCCGCCCTAGGGTAGCACGGAGGCAAGGGGGGTTGAGGTGAACGCAGGGGGGGGAGGGGTTGGAGGGCCCTAGTTCCATCCAACAAGTGTCGTGCGCTCTGTCCATCTGTACCGGATTTGCAGGAGCACCGATACGGGTTTCTGACCTACCTCCAAGCTACATTCTTCATCAAGCGGATTGAACAAGACTCGTACGCCGTCACCCCCGCCATCGCGTGCACGGCCACCAACCCCAGCGTGGCCGAGATGCTGGCATGTGATCACCTGCGCGGATTAGTGCATCACGAACTGCTTTCATCTAGGGGCCCACGAATAGCTTGGATACCTGGCCGATCGTAGTAATTGTTTGCAGCATGGATTGGACAGCGCATATCTGTTGATGGTCCTAAGCAAGGGCGCCTGTACCACCCACACACCTTTGTGCATGCATTGGTTGGACGTGCAGTGACATGATGCGTGCCCACACCATGCCGCACTTGGTGTTGCAATGTATGTACGCAGGAGCGCCACACCCGACCGACCGCACCACCTTCCAACCCTGCCTCTTGCAAACAGACATCACCCTCAAGTCGCTGGAGGAGGGCCCCTGGCCACAGGCCCCCCGGCCGGACCCTGCCAACCCCAGCTCCAGCGCGCCAGCAGGGTACGCTCGCCCCTGGACGCGTTCGCAGGCACAGGCGCCGGGGCGATCAGCTGCACAGGGCGTGGGCGCCCAGTTGGGTCGCCAGTATTCATCCTATCCAGAGGGTGCCGTGCAGGTTGGGAACATCCTTCTGGGGACTGGCCGCTGCGGCGACGTCAGGCAGGGCAGGTGAACTTCCATCGTGCGTGGCACTGCAATGTCCAGCTGCGATGCCGTGATGACAGCATGATCATGTTCACGTTTATTGCCGGTCGACCTGCCAGCAACTTGCCTGACGAGTATTTGGTGCTTCGTGTTTGGGGACGGCACCCTGCCCACCCACCCACCCACCCCATGTAGCGGGTCACTCCACACTCCTTGCGCAGCTTCCTTGGGACGCGCTGTGCCCTGAAGATGGCAGACACCTGCAAGCAGCGAGGTGTCGTGGCGAGCCTCAAGCACGAGGCCCTGGTGTACGGTGCGTGCTCCTCCGACGCGCGCGTCACGCACATCGGGCCTCTCAAGAGCCCCTCGCCCGTGACGACGGTCGCACCTGCCTTTGCTGCTGTCACAGGCGCTGTTTGCCGTGCTACGCAGCAGCCTTGCCTCCGTCCGAGAGCCGCAAGCCTTGTGTCCTGTCAGCATGCAGTGTCTTGACTGAAGGTTGCACCACCTTGGCGCTTCCGTCATGCTGCTGGCAACGCAGAGCACCTGGCTGCGCTGCAGGGCACGGTCATCCCCGTGCTGCTGGGTTGCGGCTTCTGGCGGGACGAGGGCATCTTCCTGGTCGCCACCTCCATAGTGGAGGGCGAGCACCCCAGCTCTGACACTGCCGCCGCCTACCCTGCGGCCGAGAAGGTGCGGGGCCACGGGCACACGCATTGTGCAACGGCCAGTTTATGTATCCACGTTATCATGGGTTCGGTCCACACTGCACGGCTTGTGGCGGCCATATGCATGGTGGCTGAGAGGAAGCCGCGCACGGGCATGACACAGCGAACGCATTGCTGCCGCACGAGCCGCCAGCATATTGCAAGGCAACGCCGCCAGCACCCGCCACCCGCAGCCGCGTCATGCACGTGCAGCTACCATGGCCCCATGACAACGGCGGCCTGGGCCCTGGTGTCGTTCGGCGCGACTGGCGTGACATTCCCCCAGGCTCTGCGCATGATACATGTGATGGGCGTGGTGCATGGCGACATCCGCGAGGACAATATTCTGGTGTCAAGGCAGGGTGCCGCCTTCAAGGTGGGTGTAGGTGCCCACGGACGGAGCAGATCCCAAGTGGCAAACATGCACCCTTCTGTTTGGAGACTCTACTTGCTGCTCTGCCGGTGTTGTTGTGCTTTGCACTCGGTGGCAGGCCCCAGTGGGCCTGCAGAACGGTTCTGGACCCTGAACCTACCAACCATTTCGGTTCCGGGGAAGCTGAGGCTCTGTGGGCGCGTCATATCGTATGTGTGCCTGAAACCAGGGAACGTATGGAGCTGGTCAAGGCTCCATTCTTACTCTCTGATGGTCAACTCATTGCGCAGACAAGCAAGTTTGGTTGATCGGAGGGCTAACATGCCGTCGTGTGTGTGCAAGTGCCATTTGTGTGTGTTTTCTGCTATCAAAACGCAAACAGCGTGGCAGACACGCCTTCCACGCCTGATTCACAAGCAGGTGTGGCTCCTGGACTTTGAGAGCAGCCGGGTCGCAGCAGCACCCGAGGAGGTCTCCGAGGAGGTGGCAGCGCTGCAGGCAATCTTTCGCCCTCTCGATGAAGGCCACGCCAGGAGTGAGTTCCGTGTGTTCCCACACCATTTGCTAACGTCCTGGGATCGAGCCTGCTGTGCAACACACCCAGCCCTCCACACTCACAGTCCCACCTTGGCGGCGACTCGCCTGCATCGGTGGCGCAGGGTTCTTGCAGGACTGATGGCACGGCCGGAGTGGAGCTTCGTGCCGCTCAGCCTGTGTCCGTGTCGGAGCGTTGAGCCTGACGGGCATGCCTCACATACAGCATACCTGGAGGCGGTGACAGAGAGCACGGGTTGCAGCAGCATGTTTTGAGCTGCAGCCAGCAGTCCGCCAGCACATCCAGGGCGACTTGTCCTACCAGCGACTGCTTACCGCAGTCATCCACACTGTGGCACCTGAGCGAGCCGCAGTAGTTGCAGCACAACTGTGTCCTTCTGATCCTTTTTCCCAGCACAAAGCATTGTGTCTGGGGCAAGGTTGCGAGCGTGCTGGGACCCCACAGCTACGCGTGCACTAGGGGGCTGAATGTGCGTGGCCCTGTCGTTTGTTGTCTGCGGTGTGGGCAGGGCGTCACCCACTCCTATGGCAGCGTGCGGGTGTCAAAACAATGGATTGCGAGGACACACAAGCCGAGTGCTGTTGACCGTGCGGCACGGCGCGCTGGCACGACAAATGGGGCTGGTGAGCTGCCCCTGGTGCCTCGGGTTCTTGTGCAATACCGGGCTGTAGTGATACCACCAGCAATCAAGGGGGGCAAGGCGACCAGGCAGTGAAGAAGGCTGTGCCTTGCATATAATACAGGGTCTTGTTGGATTTTCGTATGTATTCAAATTACCCCTGATTGTAAGAAGTACTGACGCTTCAACGTGCTCACATCAATAGAAGTACTGCCTTCACATTGGTTGCTGTGTAAGAATCCACACACGTGTGGCTACCAGGCCAGCATGTCTCAGCTGGGTCATGGAAGCCCACCCCGCAGCTGCTCACAGCGCCGCCCGTCGCCGGCAGACCGCATCCTGCGCCTAGAGCCACGCCTGCCAGCCCTCAAACATCCGCGACAGATTGTCCACGCTGGTGGCAGACGCAAGCAGCCCGTCAACGCACCGCCGCACAGCCGCCTGCTCGTCTTCCTGCACTGCGTCGGCCGCGCCTGCGCCGGGGCCGCCTGCAGCCGGGTCCGCAGCGCCCAGGCGCGCCAGGCAGCGGCGCAGCGCGGCTTGCACAAACGCCTGCCGTCGCGCCTCTGCATGGGAGGGTGGCGAGCGACGCGGAGCTGGAGTGCGACCCAACAGGCGGCCGCGTCGGCTGCACGCAGTAGCCCCAAGAAAGCCTTGCCCAGCCAGCCCGGCCCTCCCAGCCCCTGCCACCGGGACCCCCCCCCCGGCACGACCCCCACAACCATTGCACCCCCACCCACCTGCTCGCCGCCCGCGGCCCGGCGCACGTCCAGCGCCCTCACTGGCGCCGACGCCGTGCGGCGTGCCGTCTCCGGCCGCGGCCCCCTGGTGCCCGTGGTGGTCTTGCAGTATGGAGGCGGCCACCATGCCGGCCGCTGCGGCGAGGCCGTCCAGCTGGCGGCACAACTCGGTGAATAAGATGTGGGTCTGCGGCGTCGAGGGGGATACAGAGCAGGAGTGGATGCGCGGAGCCCACGCCTCTGCACACGCGCCCATATTGATGAGGACGGCTGCGCCCTAGGGCGGCGAATGCTCACGTGGCTGGCCCCCTGCCTACGGGGCACTTAGTTCCTTGCGTGTGCGTGCTGGCGCTGTGGTGATAGCGGGGCATTATCTAGGCCGCCGCCCTGCACAGGCGACGACCCTTGCGCCCCCTGCACCACCACCCACGCCCCAGCCACCCCACGTCCTACACGAGACAGCCCAGCAACGAAGCCGCTTGCGCAGGATGCGCCCGTGACTACTCACCTGCCCGAGCTCCGCCAGCTCAGCCTGAAGCTGCCTCACAGGCGCGTCGAGGGCCTCCAGCAGGGAGTGCACCAACTGGACTTGTGAGTCCACCTCATGCTGCACCTGCGGCCGTGGTGCCGCCGCGCCGCCTGGCCCCGGCTGCTGCGGCTCGGGCGCCCGCCAGGCCTGCAGCGCGGCCTCTAGGCCGGGCGCCGCCGCC